CCGGGGGCCCCTGCCCACCCCCCAGCCCTTCCCTTGGGAAGCCAGGTGCTCGTGGCGGCCGTGCCGCTCATTCTTGCCCAGCCTCCCCTGCTCTCTGTTTTCCTTGGTGAGTGCTGCTCACATCTCCATGATTGATTGTGTTTGAGTTTGATTGTGGAGCGTCCTGGGATGTTTGCATGAGAGGTGCTACATAAGCATAATTTGTGCTGTATTTTCTTTGCCTAATAGGAGCTTAAGCTTAAAGTTTAAGATAGTTTTGGCCCTTTGCTGAGACACTGTCCATCAACTTTAGTGCTTTCAGCTCTACAGCCTTCTCTAGTCACTGTCAGCTTAACAAAGAAAAAAAAAAATGTGCTTTTTTGCCCTGTGTCAGTGATGCCTTTGAAAGGCAGCCTGGGGCAGAGGCGTAGCACCCTTCCCTTCACACTGGCCTAGATCTTTGCTGCCTGTCTCTGATGCAGAGGGATACTCTTCCTATGAGCCTGGGTCTTGTCGTTGGTCTGTGCAGAACCAAGGTTAAGTCTCGCTCCTGTGAGTGGATGCTGTGTTATTTACAGCAGAGATGCTGAGTCGAGAGACAGAAGGGAGAAGATGGTAACTCACCACCTGTGCGGCTGCCCAAACAAATGGCAAAGGTCTTTCCCAGTCCTGAAACCCCAAGAATTTTGGAAAAATGTGTGGAAATTAACCCCAGGGAATTTGTACAGACTGAACCATCGCTGGACCCGGCCTAAAAACCTCTGCAGGTCACACATTTCCCCTCCAGCTCTCCTCAGATGAATAGGAAGAGTATGGTCTGAGCTGCAGGGAATTTTCAGCATATTTGGTGGTTATATCCAAAGATCAAAATATTTTGGGATACGAGGCAAAGCATAATAAAGAACCAATTCAGTTTTCAGTGGTGCAAACTTGATGCTACAAATTAATACCTACTGCTACAAAATATTTACATTTCTTGTTCCGCACAGACAGATTGCAGCAGAGCGGACTAATGACAGGTTTTAATTTGGAGGAGAGAGTGGTCTTGTGATGAGCACAGACTCGGAGGAGCTGGGTTTAATTTGTGGCTCTGACAAACTCCCTCTCCAGCCATAGGCAAGTCCCTTAACCTCTGTATCCTCGCACGCTGAGTGGGATACCAGAGAGGTTCTGTTCTCCTCCTTCCTAAATTTCTTTCAGAGATAATTGTGGGGTTGCAGAGGGATACAATAACGGTCTGAAGAGCTTAAAAACCAACCAGAGTTCACAAAGATGTAAAATAGTTACTCTTCCTACAATACAAATTAAACAGCCCATTAGCAGATGAAGCAGGGATGAGATTACACGTGGAAAAAACATATAATTCATGTATCTAAGTGTACATGCGCTTGGGCATAATAATTAATCGTGTTTATCTATAATTGCCTGACTTCCTTGAGCAGCTGTGGTGGCTGCGTGTGCAGCTCCTTGCTGAAACATTCTCCTTTTTTTTGCACAGTATATAATTCACACCTTCTGTGTTCGCCAAAGAAAATCCTCATGCCCCAACACCTGCGTATTTGAATGAATTTGATTCTTGCAGCATTATCTTTCAGGGGTGGCTGCTGGGTAGGTTTTTCCCTGCCAGCCGAGTGGGCAGTGCTCTGAGCAGCACGGGCACTGGGAAGGAACTCCTGCCCAGTCCCAGTAACCTATCCGTTAGCCATGTGCTGTAAGTGTTGTTCGCTGTTTCCATTTATTCCCTTTCTGTAATGATTATCAGTCATGGATTAAACATCATGCAACATTCACAACAACGATTTCCACGAAACCCTTTGCTGGGTGGCCCTTGAGCTACTGTACAAAAATATTGCAGGTTTTTTTAGACAAACTACTGTTTATTGGAACTGATCAAATACAGGAAGGAAATGGTCTGTGCTTATTCATTCAAATACAGGAATATGAACTTTTCTGACTTTACTGGTGCATTTTTAGCTCATATGTTTGCAGGAAAGGACCAGAGTCATATATTCAGGTGTAAAATTTGGAAGTGACTTTGTGTTGATTAGCTGCAGGGATGACAGTTAATAGTCCTGGTTTCTTGACTGGCTAACTGCTATAGCCAGCCACATAACATAAGCTGTGGCTATTTCAGTCAAATATATATATAATCACAAATACTAAGTGTAAAATTAAAAAAATACACATGCATAATATTTAATCTGTACTTTACTGGCTTGGTTAATTATATAAGCATTGGCTGGAAATGCAATTTGGATTTGTCCTGACCATAATGACTACTGAAATGCTCTGTAGATAAAAAATAATAATTACAAAAGATGTTCAAAGGGTATGCTGAATAGTCAGCACACTCAAAATTGTCACAGTCTTATTTGGATGTTTAATATAATATTTTGTTTGCAAATTATTTGTTCAGTTTTTTACCCACATATTTCATGTGCTCAGCAAGCTTGACACCTCCCACTCGCCTTGCAATGCTCTTTCACCACAGGGCTGCCCCACGTCTCAGCCTTCTGCAGAAGAAACAAGGACGCCCCAGGCCGCAGGGTTTATCAGTGTGGTCACCAACCTCGGGTGGCAACGGAAAGACAAGATGGGCAGAAAGCAAGGCGAGAGGACGCGTCAGTGCGAAGCGTGTTGAGCAACGCCCGCGTCAGCCATCGCCGGGTTTAGGGCAGTGGAGAAATTAATTTGCCTAAAGGAGAAGCACGGAGCTGTGCTGGTGCCTGGGCTCTGGTTTGTCGCCCTTTCCCCCCACCCTTTTCTCTCCCCTTTAGCTTCTGCAGGAGTTTGGGAGCATGCGCTTTGCTGGGTGTGCCTGCGGGGTCCCACCAGGCGCAGCTGAAGAGCTGCCATTGGCGTCAAATGCTCCTGAACAGCAGATCAAGCCTGAAGTGCTTGTTAGGGAGCTCCTGCCCCTTCTCCAAGGCATCTCACGGTATTTTACTGTCAGGCACAAAAGGTTGGCAGAACCATTACTGGTCCATTATGGTCTGGCCCAGTTTCCCGACATGAAGTAGACCAGACTGGCGGCTCTCGCCGAGGTAGCACATCCCAGTCTGCCAGGAACCGAGCATCTCCCCAGATACAGCGATCCAGTCTGCGTCTTACCAAGTGGAAGGAAGGTATGGAGGGTGGTCAACAGTGCATGGGGGGGTGTCACCAACAGCCAGAGGAGGAGGTGGGTGATGAAGGCTGTGCTCCTGCTGCCTGGACTCTACCTCTTCTGAGAATAAACAACATTTTTTCCCCCCCTCTAGCTTTAAATTTAGTGAAAAATAAAATTAAAGCCAAATCCTAGCACTTTAACTAAATCAGAGCATTTACCAGCTTCACTTAAAGAAACAGGATTATTTTCACAAGTGTTTATTTGTACAGTTCAAACAAGCTATTTTTTTAAAAATATGAGTCCACCACAGATGTGCGACTCAGCCCGATCTCTTGACACCATTCAGAGGTTAGGAAAAAAAACCACGAGAAGTATGTTCTGCCACTTTCCTGGAAAAAAGGCCTTTCTTTGGGCTGTTTATTTAATGTAGGCTCCAAACAATTGGCAAAGCAGATCTTACCCTGGTGCAGGGAGATGAGCAGGACCCTGTGAGATGATGGAGGATGCCAGTGCTGTGCTCAGTGCTCTCCAAGGACGAGGGACACGGTTCCCCTCATTGTAGAGCAGCATTTTTGCACACCAGTGAGAGCTCTCTCTCCCCAAGACGTCAGCATTGCTGGGGCTTTGAACTCCACTTCAAAGCGGGGTCTGGAGTGAGGTTTCTGTAAACCCAGAGAAACAGGTAAATATTTGTCAGAGGCAATTAACCCTCCTCATCACCTCAACAGTCATCTGTGCGAGACGGCTGGAGGGGTTTCGACAGGCACAGAGGGGAGCCTTGTTTATTTACTGAACCATTTCGGGAGGTGAGTAGACACAAAAACACTGCAGCGAGGAGACCTGGAGGTTTTCCCCTGAGCATGGTCTATGAACTCGTAGAGACACCTCATCCTTTCCATCACTAAAGCAGGTAGAGAGGAAAGTCCTTTTCTTGTCTGAGGTAGAAGACCAGCCCTGTTCCCACTACTGCTACTCTAGCTTTATAACCCTTCATTCATCCCAGTTACTCCAGATGGGCGTCAGCTGTTCACAGAGCCTGAGGGCTCCTTGTCTCTCCCACCTGCTGTCGCAGGTTTAATGGCAGACATTGTGAGCCACCCATGCCAGAAGTGGGTGAAAATACTGAAATAAGAAAAAGGGGAGGGAAAAACTAGAAAGAGCTGAGTACCAGATGAGAAGGATGGGGCTAGGCTCATTCCTCACCCCCCTGCCCAAACCTGACCCAGCAGCCCCCCTGCTCTGACATGGCCCCCGGGGCAATGCCACCCTCCCTTTCTCTCAGCCAGGAGCCTGCAGCTGGATGTTGACAAGCCCAAAAGGAAGCACCGGGGCTGTAAAGGGGTCCAGCTGGGAACTGTGTGCAGCCCCTGGGGACGTCTGTCCCCTTGGCTCTGGGACGCGTGCTGGGAAGATGCTGGGGGAGGCTCCGGGGCTGCCCCCGCACGACTCTCACCTCCCCTGGTTTCAAGGCAGGGAAGGCCGGGTGCAGGGGTCCCAGCCGCCCCGGCGGGCTCAGTTCGGCAGCAGCACGTGAGCACACGGGTAGCAGATGGGACGCCGGGCTAGAACTGCACTCCGCGTCTGCCAGGGAAGTGGAGCGGGGAGAGGGACGTGCCAAAGGCAACAGCGGTCTCGGTGAGCTCAGTGTTTGCTGTCCTGCGAGACACCGGCCGCGGGGCAGATGGGCTCTGTCCTTTCCTTCTCCGAGCACCTCCCGCCGACCTGCCAGGTGCCTCAGCGGGAGCTGGCACCGGCACATCTGTTAGCAAGGGGAAGGCTGGGTTGTACCATGCTCGCCTGCACAGGCTGGTTGAATCTCGCTGGCAGCAGCGGGGAGGACACGACAGCATGAACCTTATCAGCCGTGGTCCTTATCAGCCACCACAAGCCCAGGTCCCCGTAGGTATGTGCTCCAGGTACCGGCGTGTGTCCAGCTCCACTGCCATTCCCTCCCCATCGCTCATGGGCAAGGTCAGGCTGACACAGATGTGCCAGCACCAGCCATGGTCAGAGCTTTGTGTTGCTGCGTGGACACAGCCCGAGTGACGGACATTGCTGCTGCTGAGCTGCAGGAATCCCCCATCCAGCTCCCTCTGTACTTCAAAGGGTGGACACTGGGGATCGGGGGCTCAGTGGAGCTGCCAGCACTCAGAGTACCCACAGACCAGAGCTGTCTTCGGGCGAGGTGTCCCAGTTCCAGATTTTTCAGGGACCCACATGTCAGTGCATCCCCTGGTCAGGGGAGAAAATACCCCAGCGAAGCACATGTCCACGCTGGGAGAGATGTGGAGAGAATCTCTCCCATTTTGGGTGTGTTCAGTTAAACTTCAGATCGTGCGTTTGGACCTTCCAAGGCTTTGATTGGAATTGGATTCCCTTCTATATCTTCCTAGATGTGTTTTTTTCCCAGTGTGTTTTAAACACCCTCATTTGTCCCTGGCAGATCAAAGCGCATGCACATCAGGGAGTCATGCCCTGCTGGGACGGTGATCCCGGTGTCCACCCACCACACGTGTCCTGGCTGAGGAACCCAGACCACGCACTGACACACCAGCCCCTTCCCCAGTGCCAGCAAAGGGGAACCTGGTGGGAGTCCCCGGGACGGCTCCCCACCACCGGAGCAGGGATCAGCTGGTGGCACTGGTGAGGCACCCAGTGCCACTCATCCTGCCCGGCACTGCGAGCCTTGGCTGTGCTGTGGCTGGGCTGCTGGGCAGTGGAAAGCTCTCTTGGGTTTAAAGCCGTGCTTCAAGCTCTTCAGGCAGGAATAATTCACTGCCAGGCAGGTTAGCCCACCATTTAAGAGACTTCACGGGCTTCTTGTTGACATTCAGCTCGCACAAGGCGGGATCTGCATCTAACCCTTGCTGCGGCCGCTGTGGCCAGTGACCCACCCTTCATCACCTCTCAGCAGTCAGGGAAATACATCCCAGCATGAAACAACACGAACTCTGCCTAACACCCGGAGCAGAGGGGTGATGACCCCCTAAACACACACCAACGAGCACTGACGCTTGCACCAGGTCATGGGCAAGGTGGGTCATGGGCACGGGGCTGGCGGCAGAGCAGACTTTTTCACTTGAAAGAGAAGGAAGATTTGATATGGGCTCTCCACTGCAAGCATGGGGTCTTCCCTTTTTGTCTGTGCACAGATTATCCATAAAGATATTGTGCTATTTGCTGCCTGTTTTCCACTTCAGAACCTTGTGTGATGGCCCAGCATGGGAAGGAGGCATCAGTGCACTCATCATGGCACCTTTGGCTCTTCTTGCTGAGCTTCTGCATCCCAAAAGCATGGCCATGCCCATCTCCCAGCCCGACCCTCTCCCAGCTTCTGCAGCACAACACAGCTCCCCAGAGCTGCTGTGACACCGACACAACATGTCTGGCTGGGACCTCCAGCTGCACGGTTCCTCACAGGCTTTTACATTCTTGGAGCAAGAAAACTCATCACTTGTGACAGACAGGGTGTCTAAGTGAGTTTGGGGACTGCAGCTCCTTCTTGCAGCGTCTGGCACAGGCTGAGGCCAGGGAGCTCCGTTCTTTATATCATCTGGCAAATGCTTTTGGAGTCAGAGCTCTTGATTTCCATTCCTTTATACCTCACATACGTGCTTGGCTCAGCCTCGGGTTAGCAATCCAAAAAGCAGGAGGTTGCTTTTTGGACGGTCAAGCGCATACAGGACCCCAACATGCACATTTTGCTGTAATAAACGTGGAGTCCAAGACAGAGGAGGAGCAGATGACGCCACGATAAGTCTGGCACAAGGCAGCAGTGATGGTATGTCTACAGGCTCTGCAATCCCTGCCTGGTGTGCCAGAGCAGGGGCTCGTGAGCTGTGTTTGCAGGGTAGCACAGTCTTCCTTAGGTAAAGGTTAAGGAATAAAGCAGAAAAGAGCACTCCAAGATCCTCATTTTCTGCTTTTCCAGCCTTTGTCCAGCTTTGAGCAAAATGGTTCTTCCAAACATCTGAGCCTCCGTGGTTAAAACTGAGAAATTTCATGTCTAGGCAGACAGAAATCTGATGGCCTGGATCCAGCCATCTGGACGTGGGAAAGCTTGGAAGTCCCATGAGAAAAGGAAGATCTCTTGGCAAAGAGTCACAATAAATCTTTATGGGAGAGTGGAGGGGTAAAAATACAAAGTGTCCGTCAAGCTGCTCCCATTCTGTGGGCAGAAGTTAGCAAGCCCCAAGATATGTAGGTACAGTGAGAGATTTTAAAAGTGAGCAAAAATATTTGAGGGTCATTCCAGCTTCAATGCCAGAAACAAGCAGATTTCACAGAAATCCTGTGTAGTCCTGCCCTGCTCACCTGGAAGGGCAGGACCAGTGTTGAGGTGGTGCTGGTCATCAGCAACCCTCAAAGCCCTCTGGTAGATGTGATCAGCATGATAGGATGGATGCAGAAATATGTATGTGTCCTGATTTTGGCTGGGATAGAGTTAATTTTCCTCTCAGTAGCTGCTGTGTTTTTGATTTAGTACCAGAAGAGTGTTGGTAACACTGACGTTTTTAGTTGTTGCTACAAATCAAGGACCTTTTCCAGTTTCCCATGTTCAGCTGCTGAGCAGGTGTGCAGGAGCTGGGAGGGAGCACAGCCAGGCAGCCAGCCCAAGGTGGCCCGTGGAAATATTCCATACCATAGACGTCCTGCTCAGTTTATAAATGAAGGCTGGCTGGGGCGCAGGAATCCTCTCTTTATTCCTTTGTTCCTTGGAGCTCAAACTTCTCCATGAGTTCAGTCTTTTTTTGGTACTTCTGTGAAATTTGTGAAATCCGCAAGTTCTGTGTGCCATGATCGCTGCTTGGGGACTGGCTGTGCAATTGGGCGTCGGGCAGTGAGAAGAAATTGTATTGCGTACAGCTTATTTTGTATATTCATTATTATTATTGTTGGTATTAGTATTTTCTTTATTGTCTTATTAAACTGTCTTTATCTCAACCCAGGAGTTTCCCCTTTTGTCCATTTCTCCTCCCCACTCCGCTGAGGGGCAAGGGGAGGGGTGAGCGAGCGGCTGGCTGGTGCTGAGTTGCCAGCTGCCAGGTTAAACCTCGCCAGTGTGGCAAGCGGTTTGCCCAGTGTCACTCGGGAGACCAAAAGCTTCAGGACTGCACCCCTGTCTCCCCAGTTAGGTTCTCTCCCCACTGCAGCACTGCTGGCCTCCCTGGGCAGCCCTGGGAGAGCTGAGACGCTGCCTTGTGAAGAGATGTTAATGCATCCAGAGCCCGTATGGACGCATCTTTCCTGCCCAAAGCCTCCCCATCTCCTCTGCATCCCCCAGGAGCTCCTGTGCTGTGTCTTTTCTTCTGCCCATGTCTGGACATACCCCAGACAGACTGGGGAGAAGCAACACCTTCAGGAGACCCCGTCCCAACATACCAAGGAAGGATAAACCACTGCAAACATCCCTGTCTTCCTTCAGAGCCGGGGAGGAAAAGCAGCACCTCTTTTAGCCCCACCATTATGTAATCTGAGCCAAACAAACAAGCAGCAGCAGCATTTTTCTGCAGAAAAATACATTTTGCAGCTGGAGACAGTGAACAGTGCAGTGGTGGGGATGGCTGGAGGGTGTCTGCGGGTGCCACAGTGATTGCCCAGGCAGGTGAGCACCGGGGCCACCCCTGGGCAGAGGAGCAAGGGGAACAAGACCTCCCTGTGCAGCCATGACAAACCCGCCTGTGAACCGCTGCCAGGTGCTCAGTTTCTATCTCAATTTTGGTCTCGGAAAAAAAAAAGAGAACGGACTGAGTACACAGGGGTTGCAGTCAAGCTGCGGCACACACCCGTCCAAGCAAGAAAATTACACGGTGAGGCTGCCAGGGTGTCCTGACTTCACTTCGCCGGGTCTGGGCTTTGGGGGCTGTGATCTGCTAGCCCTCGACCAGCCGCTGATCCAGCCCATTGCCAGAGCTGCAGCATTCCCAGCCCTTACAAAGGCAGCGTTACTGTGTCAGATGCTGGGGCAAGAAATGATCTCCGCTTGCCCCAGTGATGCCTTTCGTGCGGGCTGGTTTTGCCCCACGGGACGGGGAGCTCCCACCGGGACCCCTGGGTGGGACCGTGGGGTTTCCCACCACTGAGCCTCAAAGGCAGCCGTGCGAAGAGCAGGCGACAAGCACAGAAAAAAAAAAAAAAACCCGG